CCCTGTATTAATCCCTAGAGTAGGTTAAATATTATGGTTTCCATAAGTGGGCAAATGGTCCATAACCCAGCACTGAGCTCAGTGTGACAGCTCATGGATAGATGGAAGTATTGGTCTCTGCTGGCAGCTGAAACTGCTGGTAGTTTATTTATTTAACGAGAACTTCATAAATATACACCTTGAAAGTTACCTTGATACTGGCTTTTTTATTGGAAAATGTTAATTTTTGCCCTCATTTTTGCCAATAAAGATGATATATCATTTAATCAATGTTTGTCTTGAGATTAGAAAATGGTGACCTTTATAAATTTATATTGTAAATTAAAAAAGCGCAGAATATTTTTTCATTTTTTTTTTAAAGCAACACGTTAAACAGAAAGTTTTGAAATGGGGTTGTAACCTGATGCCCTTTCCCCCTAGCAATTGTTATAATCACTTAACAAGTATTAAAATCAGGAACTTGTCCTTCCTGTAGAAATGCACATATCTACAAATTCTTTCCACATTAATCGTCAAACTTACACCAATTGTGTTGCTGATTACAAGGTAAATGGTATGCGACTGCATTCACTTCCTGTGGCTAACACCACATTAACATAAATAAGAAGCAAGAAAAATCAGAGACTGAGACAAAGAATGTGACAAAATTGAGGGAGATGATGAAGATTAGATTAATATCAATTTTATTGGTCCTTCCTGCTGTTCACAGACCAGTTCACATGCACTGTGCGGTCTCCTTCTGGCAGAATCTTTGCCAGGCTGCGTTTGCTCATATTTGAAGTCAAGTTTTAGCATTCAAAATGTTGACATGCTTGTGAAATATTAACTTTCTGTTTTCTTCCATTTTCTATAAAAAACGTTTTCAACCATCAGGGAATAAAAATATGCAAAAAACAAACAAAAAAAAAGTAGAATGATTGTCATTTAAATATTTTCCAAAAAGGTCATTTTAGGCATAGATGAAAGTCAGCCTGGGATGAGAAGAGCAGATAATCAGAGAAAAGGAAGTAAGAGATATGTAGGATTGAATATTCAGGATGTGGAGAGAGATGCCGGCTCAACAGGCACAGTGGGTACAGCTGTTCTCTCCAGGATGTTGGAGAATCTCTCTAAAAGCATTTGCTTGATGATACACATACCGAGTGAATTTTGATTTTTTTTCTTCTCTTTAAAAAAAAATCATTTAGCATTTCACAAATTTTTTATTTAAACAAATTCTTTAAAACACACTCTTTAATCCTGTGTAAGTCTTAAGTTCAGGGGTAAAATTTCATATTTCTTTCTGACAAGTTGTCCAAGATCTCTCATAGTACCATTTTTCTCTATAATGACAAAGTATGATAACATTTTGTCAAATCCAAAAAAACAGGAGTGGTCAGTGCATTTTTATTTTCTTTCATTCCATTCTAGGATTGGTAATTAACATTTTTCTTAATCACAAAATACTTTGTTTTATTTTGCCATAGTCTGAGAATGTCAGTCTGTCATGCTTGGTGGTTAAAATGCCCTGTTGGCAGTTTTGCTCCTTTAAGAGGTAGCCACCACCACCCCTCCCCACCTTCCCCCATTCCCCCAAAAATCAGAATAGTGTTATGACAGGTTGTTAGAGTGTGGTAGGTGAGATTGTGATCCACGTATTTGAGGATGTGTTCACTACTGGGCTAACTTAGACTGAAAATACATTTGTGTCACCTAGACGGCATAGGGGTTCTGTTGATTGTGCCTTAAATTGTAAATATCATGTTGTCTGCTGAACTTGATGAGATAATTTCTGATTAAAGTCAGTGATGGGATTGCAAACATTTTTAGATGCATATGCAGATACAATAAGCAATCCAGCTGAACAAGCAGAGTGAAAGATGGCCAGACAAAACTGGTAAGCTGCTTTATGGCAGTCACTCTGTGGACAAGGTTGTTACATGAAATTTATATCAAATTTTTAGTGTTGGTGATTTTTAGCAACAGCATGTAGGGTATTTCTTACATAGTTGTAAATTGTCTCCAATTACCAAACCAATAGCCAATGCCTTTTTTTTAAGTAGTGCAAAAGAAAATTGATTTTCTCAAAATTGGGCTTGGCTGCCCATGTTAACCAACTTTTCATTTTTGCCTGGCCTAGTAAAAAAGTAAGTTGTGACAGTGACAAAGAAATATGATTCAGACAATACAATTGAAAGTATAAGGTTTGGCATGACTTACTAATCTGCAGTGTCCTTCAATATGCTTCACCTTCCCTGAATTCACTAGGTCATGTGGGACATCGAAGAAGTCAATCTGGGAAGAAGAATAAATTGTTACCTTTTTGAAAGTGAAAATTTAAATTACTATATTAAAGTTTAATTTGATTCTTCAAAAACTTGATGCATTTAGGCACAGAAAACAATTGAGTGGTGTCTTCGTTTTCTGCTGTTTAAGACTCAGAAGAAATCTTCAAGAAATTATTGCATGGAAGGATATGAATAAGGAGAATTTAAGTGAAAATGGCAGACATGACAATAAAAACAGCTTACATATTTGTTTTAAAGTGAGTTGGTGACAAAGACATTTCCACTTTTCTGCACATATTAAAAAAACTCCTTTTGTCACTGTGTTGATTTTTTATTTCTTTTTGAAAAACCGTCTTCAACAAACATTTGCACATCTCGACCTTCTTGTTGTAGCAGAGATCAGTGCAAACATTTAAATTAAACGACCAAGATAGACAGGCATCGAGTTTTCCACCTGCAAAAAAAAATGGCCCCATTTTTTACCAGCCACCTGTGCTCGTATTCTGTCTCTCTGTCTTCCAGGTGCTATTTACGCTGTACCCTATCTTTGATAGGTTAACTAAGTTCGGATTCAAACTTCTTGGTAAAACATGAGCAAACAGCACCTACCTTATCTGAAGCTCCTCAAGAGATGTGCAAATAATACTGCTTTTTCAGTGAAATGTCAAAATATCTGCTGTTTACCCAAACATGCACTGGCTGATATAGGCTGTGTAGTTACATAAAGTACTTGGGACTTGAACCTGAATATCCAGGTAGAAACAGTTCAAGCCATGTTCACACAGAATTCAGATATATTTAGTCTGAACCTGATTTGTTTTGATTAAAACGAAGTCAACAGTTTTGATTTTAATCAACTTGGTGCATGCACAGCTTGGCTCCATAGGAAGCAACTTTGGGTTATGATATTCTGTTCAAAATAATATCACGAGTAGAAATGAACCACTACAGTGCAGACTCTCACTTGATACCAATAATGACAACTGAAGGCTTTTGGACCGAATCAGACCCAGCATATCTAAGCATCATGTGAACACCACCTCAGACAAACAACTTCACCCTACCTTTACACCACTTAGTGAACAGGTGAACAAATGAGCACCATTTCCTACTTTACTCCAGAAACTGACCGGTCAGTGTTCTCCACAATCTAATGATGAGCAGACACAAACGCACATATTCAGAAGTCTCAATTTATAGTTTTATAATTAGCTTTGCTCATAATCAGATGGTTCTGGACAGAGTGCATCATGATCAGATGATGAGTTCCTTGAAATCAGATGGGAACAGCCCCCCAGACCATCTGGTTTTAATGATATTGGCATGTAAGGTCAGCCCCAAGCACTAGACTGCTTGGTTTTGGTATGAAATACAAACAGAAAAAAATTATCAGAAAAAAAAATTGATCTTTTAATTTTATTTATATTTTCTATCAACAGGTTGATGTAATTCTAAGTATTGTTCTCTTTTTAATAATTTGTCAGAGTTTTTTAAAATGTTTTTTGACTTAGAATTACATCAAAGGCATGATTTAGGTATGTATAATGCAAGTTTACAAGAGGAAGAAAATAACTGAATGTTTTCAAGGAAGTGTTTTAGCCTGGTTAAATCTCCAGGTTAAGGGTATGAAGGTCAGTAAGACTAAAAAGTCTTGTTACCTGGCCTGAGCTTGTAATTAGATATGACATTACACTCTCCTAGACCCCCAGAAGAAATACGTTTTCAATGAAACTGAAGTACCAGGATACTTCAGAACAGCTCAGCAAGTTTTGGTATTTGCAGAGATGCGAAACAAGATGAACATTTCTATGACTTTGGCTTCCTGGGGATGGCAGTATGGCTGTCTCGAGATAAACGTCTAGAAATCAAGGAGTCTGCGGGCACACATTACAAGACTTAGATACTATGGCCCGATTCTATCTAATTTCTCAGTTGCCTTTCACTATACTACACAACACACAGACTTCCAGCATGTATGGTTGAATACTAGTTGATATAGATATACCCATAGACTGTCTGGTGGAAAAGTGATCCCTAGTTCACGAGTACCCTATGGGTACTAACCACCTGAACCAAGCCTGTGTATGGTTCAAGTATAGTTATCCAGCTATATTAAAATAATATTGTGCTTTTGTAATTTGTGGTAAGGTACTTTTCACTTATGAATATATTTTTGGTATGATTTGTTTGTTATTCATGGAACGCAGGTTGAAATGGGACTTGACATGCAAAAGCAACAGATATATTTATCCCCCCCCCCTCCTCCTCCCTCTTTACATCGATATTACAGTTTTTTTTTCTTTCAGTGAACATATTTAATATAATTTAACTTCTACCACAGATTGGTATGTTTGTCTGTGTTTGTGTTCATTAAAATGGTACAGGTTGTACAAAGATTGTTAAAACCATAGAACAAATATTCGTTCTTTATTCTACATATAGAATATTAAGACTGGGGGCAAAAACCACAATGCTGTTATACAGAATCTGTTCTTTGTTTTGTCAAAAATTGCAGGGAATGCTATCTTTAAAAAATGCCTTGACTTATTCCACCTTCATTCATTGCTCATTCATGTATCTTACATTTTCAGCCTTGCTTTCCTGCCTCTAGCATTATGGCCATACAGTTATTAAACTGAGCGAATAAGTTTTTCTACATAATTATATTTACATATTATAAATCATAATATATACACAACTAGAAATATGTATATTACATATTCGTTATTCTAGGAGGCACCCCCACCCTTGAAAGGCTATGGTTTGAGAAGGACCCAGCCACATTACAGTTACAATGGGAATCCCTTAAGGAAATCATGTGCTGTCGGATACCCCTACAGGATCTATTGAGACTGGAGAGCAAGCATGTCCTATTGTGTTGTGTCCTGCACTTCTTGTTGGCTCAGGAACCCAGCACTCTGATGTATGAGAAAGAACTAGATGCCTTCATAGCACAGGCCATCTCGCCCATGGCTGGAGATGTTGGCAAGCTTAAAAGTCTCAAGGTACAAAGAAATCTCTGGGTGTTCAATTTATACAATACATAAGTACATTGAGTACTATAGTGTTTTATTTACGAAGTATAAAATTTAATGCTCATGACTAAAGATCGTGAAAGTTTTTTCTCAGAAATTTTGGTCATTACACTGAGGTATGTTTATGACATGATTTTACAGCAGGAAATTGGTTAATGTTGTAATTGTAGAAATGCACCTGATTGATTGACAATGTTAAATTAAGTTTAAAGAATAGTTAAATGAATTAGGTTTGAAGAATTATTCTTTTTTTTTTTTTCGAATGACTGTAACAATTGTAAAATGAAAAATATACTTCCATTTCAGGTTCTTTTATTCCAACATATAATTACTAAAATGATATGTCAATTCTTAAAAACTGTTAACATATTTTTTCAAGTAGGCAACAGTTTCTTATTCCATTTCAGGAATTGAGAATTATGTCATTCAGTGGCAGCAATATTTTTGTTATTATATACGGTTTCACTATCATATTGCATATTTCTTCCAGGTTAATTGCCTCTAACTTCATTTTCAGGAGACTGTGCTATTGTCTCAGAATGGGTGTAAACCTATAATTGGCTTCTTTACTTGTAACCAGATTAGTAGAAGGCCCTGCATCTGATTGAAAAAGTGCAACAGCTGTATTGCATGGCAAATTTACATTAAACCTTCATTTCTAGTCTCTTGATGTTTGGTATGTTTATTAATTTATGACATGGTGTTTAATTTGTCTTCTCTTTATTATTTATACATACCATTGTCTGACTGTCTGAAAATAATGCAGAAGTTTTTTTGTAGATAATCACAGCCACTTTTTAGCTATTCATTCTATTTGCTGTGTCCTAAATTTTGCAACTAATATTATCTCATGTCATCAACTCTCTATGCCATTGTCTGAATGTCTGAAAATCATAAAATATGCTAATTTTTTGTGAAGATACTCAGGGATTATTTTTTAGCAACTCATTCTTTTTCCTGTCAAAAATTGTGCAACTAACGTTATTTCATTGTCATCAGCCTTTGACTATTTGTCAGAAAGATTTCATGTTTTGCTTCACTACTGAAACATCAAAGCAGCTGCAATATCATAGTGAGTTCACAATAACATGCACAGTTTTTGCTAGTGGCTAAAAAAAGTATTCCATCTTATCTAAAGTAAATGAAATATTTTGAAATTTTGTCTTATGCCAGTACTATCTCGAAAAAGTGATCTTAAAAGCCCTTTTTCATTCCACTGCTCCAAAAAGTTTGCCTTTGAAGAGAGCACCCTTGAAGCAAGATTTCACCTGAGTTTTCATGTTTTTAATCGCAAACATCAGAGATATAACCAATGGCAGCAGTTCATACATGGACACAAGGCAATCAGGGAGAGATCACCACAGCCAATGGCAGCAGTCCATGTATGGACACAATGCAATCGGGGGGACAGCAGTGATCTGACAGACCTTCATCAATAATGCAGTCCTCCAGTAGAGGGTCCTGGCACTGACTTCTGGCGGTGGCACCACACAAATCAATATTGGATATGACAGTTTTTGCCAGGATGAATTGGGTGCTGGGTTATGACATGATATATAAGCTTAAACATAGGGTAATGGCAGTATGCACTCAGTAACATGGAGACGGGAACCTCCCTTGTGTCTCCAACATGATGACAGTGTGTGTTTCCATGACATTTTATCATTTGTTGTGATGATTGATTACTGCATGAATATGTGTGTTTGGTGAGTGTGGGCAAGAACTAGAAAATGTTTGCGTGAGTACATTTGAGAGAGAAAGAAAAAGAGAGAGGGAGCAGTAATGAGTTAGTAAATAAATTAGAGATGACATAAGTGTACAGAGTTAGACTCACCATGGAGAACATATAAATTATAGGCAGTTCAGCCCTATGTACAGCTTTCAAAATGTAATTTTCACTTGTTTACATGCTGCTCTCGCTCTAAGTATTTTAAATCAACCACAATGAAAGTAAAGGTATCATCATCCTCCATTACAACACATACACACACATGCACACATACTCATACTATATATCTTTACCCGATGCCTATGTAGTGCTCATGTACGTGTGCGTGTCCAACATACCTAATGTAACCCCAGGCATGTGTGATGTAAAACCTTCCCTTACTCACACCTCCTCTGCAGCATTAAAGGTTAAGAAAGGAATTCCATTTGTTCTTCCTAGCTGAGGATCTTCACCACTTTCTCACACTGCACCAGCCCAGACTGCTGCTTGCTCATATCAATATTAATGCCATTTGATGTTTAAGTAGGGCTTTGCATGAAATGGACACCTGAGGCAGTATGATAATGATAATAAAGTAATATCATTTTGCTCTTTTTTGGTGCTTAAAAATGCAGCCTCGGTTCCCTGCCTTAGGCCCAAGCTTGCAGTCACAGACACTATATAGTATTTTGTAGAGTACTATTGAACATCAACTAGACAAAGTTGGAGACAAGGTACCATGACCCTTGAGTATAATGGATAGATATAGTCCATCCTGCCAAGCTGTGTCTTTGCAATGTTTTGCAACACAAAATACCTCGAGGTGAAGCATGAAAATAAACACAAAACAACCACAAACTATGTGGAAGTTTCCGAGATCAGAAGAGTCATGGGTGGCTTGAACTATTTTACTAGGTATAAATTGATGAGATGTGCGACAAATGGCAAAGTACATGCAATGCCCCTTGTAGATGACCCCCTGCTTATGGTCAGTTGATGGATGATCCGTGCTTTATGGTACATCATATGCCCAGGCTTTTTAGAAATTAAATGTATTTTTTGTCTGTAGGTCAACCATAGGTCTCATCTAGGTAAGTGGGGAAATTTTATATCACACCTTGTACTAAAGTGCCCCACTGAATGGCCACTTAAATCTTTTGTAATGGAATTATTGATGAAAAGTGCCCGAAAAAATTATCATTTGATATGTAGTGTTTTTGATCTATTGTGGTCCTCCTTGCTTACCTTCTATTTCATTACTCATATTGGATGCTAATTTTTCTCATGATTCATGCCACGCAATCATTAATATTATGTTTCATCTACATAGAGAAAGTGCTGAAAAATCATAACTGGATATTTTTGATCAAAAGTTATGTCGTAAGTGAATAAAAGACAATGAAACTCATCTTACCGTCTGCTTGGTACCAAAGCCGTCCTCCCTTATCATTTCCGCATTTCTGATTAATTGACTAAAGAAACCTAATCATGGTTCGCAGGACGAGCATGCACACAAAGGTCACATTAGGCATTGGGTGGGACTTCACAACAACTGGTCACAAACTGTAACATCTTTGACTTTACACAGAACTGCGGTAATTTTTGTCTGACTTTAGGGAAAATAAATTCATGCAGTTACGAAACTTCAAAAAAAAAAAAAAATTAAAACAGTTGTTACAGTGTTGAAATACTGAGATGTTAAAGTGAATTAAGAGTTTTTTCAGTCAGTTATTTGCATTTTGATCCAAAACCAGTAGTAGTCCCTTGTCCCAGATTCTAAGACTTGGTGTTAGATATAATTAATCACAAATTACAATTTAAAGTAGACAGTTCAGTGGACTAATATATAACTTGCACTGGAAATTGATGTGTTCTCAATGATGCCATCCATAATTGAATAGATAGTTTACAGTGAAGCATTCTGTTCTTCACGTACCACTCCTCTGCCTCCTAGATGTCTACTTGTGTTCTCATGTACTAAGAAAGATGGGCAAAGTGGTTGTTTTTAGAGTGTTACCTAACAGAACTAGGAGGAGAATTGATTTTTGGCTGTGTTGAAGTGTATTTTGTCAGTTAGAGTATGTTGTCAAAGATCCATGGAGGGAAGAGGTTTGAACTCATTGCTGTACTAGCTCCAAATTTCCATGCAAAAGTTATCAAGTTCATTCATGCACATCAAAATGTGTGTGTGCTCATACAAAGATGGAGAGAAATCTAGTTGAAAAGTATATATTTTATTGAATGACCGTGAAGAGACAATTTTCCTACATTTATGATCTACTTATCATATTATTTTGTTCTGTGATGAAATTTTCAAGATTTAGGAAAAAAAGACTGACATCAATAATTTCAAACCGTCTGATCCCCTCAATAAACTTTTCTTCTGTTTTATGAAAGCTCCTGCCTCAAGTAAATGTCTGGTTAGACAAGAAGACAGAAACTTGATGAAGAATGGTTTGGCTTAGTGCTCCTTTCAGCTGTCATTATGATGTGCAAAATGTTAAAAGTGGCGTCTCATTAGCATCAATAATGAACAGCAAAGTTACAGCAAGCAACTACTCCAAGCTGTTATCTTACCGTAGCAGAGATAACAGGTAACGCTGGTCTGGGATATCCATTATAATTATTACTTTGAGGTCAGTGTCTGATCTTTGAGAAGTTTGTCTGGGTGATGTCTGCTTGTTAGAAAAAATAATTGTTTGCAGCTGAAAATGTTCTTTTTTGGTGGGATTTGACTAGAGTACGTATGTTAAAAGGCAGTCTGATTTTTTTTAAGTTTACAAGCCACTTCTTATGCAATTAGAGTTCAAAAGATTGGTCCATATCATTAGCCCCTTATTTTCTTTTCTTCATCTAGTTTTATTTTAGTATGACATGGCAAGAAGTTGATCTCCTGCAACCTTGAGTGAGGTTACCTGAGAAAATGTTGGTATGCTTGACAAGTACAAACTCACTGGAATCTCATTCTTCATAGTCATTACATGGAATGACACTCACTTGTAACCTCAGCACATATTTCTACTGGCATAGATATTAGATTTTTTTCTTAAGTATCATCAATATTCTTAGCTTTCAACTTTTTTTTCCGAAATTTTTCTTTGTTTGTCTTGCTGACTAGTGCTCCTTATATTACTGTTACCCCTAATTGATTCTTAGACTATTAAACAGCTAATTTTACTTCACATTTGTCCCCAGTGCTTTTAAGCATCCTTATAAGCACACAATTACCCCCTCACGCCAACTATGACATCACTACCCAAAC